TGAGGGTGCATACCCACATGAACCTGAAAGTGATACATTATTTTGTTGTTATGTCTGCTGCCTTTTTCTTCAGAACTTCCATTTAAGAAAACTTTCAGTCTTCACCAATTCTCCACAACAGTCAAAGAAAAGGAAATGTTGAGTTAATATAACATTACATAGCAGCATCTGTTTAGTCCAGAAAATTATCCAGTTGTTGTTGCATTTACCAATTTATCCCAAAACAAAATCACCAATTTTATTTCTATGGAGCCCGGGAGGGGCCATCTGTAGGGGAAAAAAAAGTTACATAGAGGGAACAATTTACAATTCGTGCCCACGAGATAATGAATTCATTGCCTCATTTTCTTTAATTTGTGCGTACAAAATTACCTTTTCCTTTGTTTTCTTTGTGTCACAGTAGTGCACATACTGTAGAAAGTTTCTAAAATGCCAGCATCATCCCCGGCTCTGAGCAAACACTATCAAACGCTAGTTAACACGTTCCCTCATCTTGATATATATATATATGATAGCCTAAAAAGACGTGACAATGTGTTCACTAACGTTTGATAAAATTAAGATACTTTCAGGACAGTAATGTCTAGGTCTCAGAGCTGAAGATAATGTTGGCGTTTCAGGTGCGTGCGACTACCACGACGCAAAGAAAACTAAGGAAAGTGTTAGAAAACGTTATTTTGTGTGCACGAATGAAAGAAAACGAGGGAACAATTTAGTTATTTCGTGGGCACAAACTGTAAATCGTAGGAACGAATTAATTATCTCGTGGGCACGAATTGTAAATCGTTCCCTCTGTAACTTTTTTTTCCTTGTAAATCAATGGTCCCTCCCTGACTCCATATTTTTCCTAAACAGAAACAAAAAAGTGTTTGGCAGAGCTGTCAAAAAGCCACTAAACATAATGTTTAAAACTCTTTCCCCTCACATTTGGCTTTGATTAGAATAGCCTGATTATTTGTTACTAATTGTCTGATACAGAGCTATTCTGCAAAGCCCCCTTGCAAAATATAACTTTACAGTCTTTAAGATTTTATGTTTATGCTTGATTTGTAAAGCAATGTTATTTGTATGAAAGATGCTCTATAAATAAAGTTTATAATTATTTTTTAATCCATAGCAATAGAAAAATACAATGGAAACAATTGAATATTGAATCAAAATTCCAAAAGGAATTCAGAAGTGTGTTTTTGCAATGCCACTTGAATTACTGTATACTCTCCAGCATCAGGCAGAAAATTAGACACATGACACATTCACAGAGAAAAGTTACAGTACAACTGCCAAAATTGTTCTAAGAACACAAGAAAGATAACAAACAAAAGGAGGCCACTTGGCCCATTCCAGTCCATTTAGTACTTAGGTAATAGATTTTATTTCTTTATCGTATTCAACAACATGGCTCTGTAGCTTGTTCTGGGCTCCCATAGCCCTTTGTTATAAAGGCACTTCTACATACTGTAGTTTCCACTTGTACCCTCTAGTTTGTATACTTTGCTGGAAACATATTGTTTCTAAATCCTCAGCTGTTAATACATTTAAATTGGCAATCCACATTTTAAATCTTGTGTTTTGCCTTCTGTTTTAAAGTTAAACTGTTGTAGGAATGCAAGAAGTCACGGCACAGTCCAGCGAAGGATTGAGATGAGTTTAATTGTAGTGAAAATGGCCATTTCTGGAGAACACCGAAGGAGATGAAGGTGTATTTCCCACCTTTTTCAAATCGCAAAAGTGTTACAGAGGGTCCAACCATGTTATGGTCATGAATGGGAATTTAAGAGTGAATATTCCCCATAAGGCCACAAGCCATATCACCCTGTAGCTCTGAACTAGCTACCCACTGAAGCTAAGCAGATGTGAGCCTGGATGGGAGACTTCTGGGAAGCTATAGTTGCTGCTGAAAGTGGTATAATAATAATAAACAATATAAGTATAAGGAATTATTAACTGGACACAGACTACGTTTCACAAGATTAATGACTAGCAGTCTCTTAATGTCACTGTTATTCCCTAAATACAAATGATTTTTTTCACTAATTTGGTTTTAAAGTTTTAGCTTTTAATTTATATACAGGTATTGTTATGTTTTTACAACATCCCTCTGTTCCAATAAACAAATAATTGAAAAAAATGACTATATGTATGTTAACTGGAATGACAATTTACATAAAACATTTAAAACAAAGCAAATTCTTTAGCAAAAGAAAAATGTATTCCTGATGTTACCAAAACAAAACAGCAAACATTTTGAATATGCAAATTAGCTTGCAAAATATGTTTGTGATACCATATGTCTTTTACTTGGGATCTACAGTATTTCTTTAGAAAATCAGGCAGTCTAGTCATTTTGTTTATAACCACAATCAAAAACCTACAAAAAACTGCCACTAAGCTTTTCATAAATATTTACCAGTAGATCTCAACAAATATTTGCCAGTAGATTTCCAGAAAGGGCATCTGATAAAATTTATTCAATTGATGTGCAACATGATTACATACAGTACTCTTGATAGGAAAAGGGACAGAAGATGTAAGACACTGATGAGCAGACATTGAATTAATGAAAACACACGACTGAAAAAAGCATTATAATGACACTGACAATGATAAGCAGCCAATCACTGAGAAATATTGTTTGACAGGAGAAATAAAAAAATGACACTCATTTGATGTTGTGTCCTATCAAGAAAATGTAAAATAAATATCATTAGCATAATATATATTATATGAATAAATTAATAATAAATCTGACTTTAACAATGAAGAAATATTTACTATGATAAAGATTAAACATTGTATATTGGAGAAATGTAATTGTAGTGCATCAAAAAACTGTTCTATTGTAGTGAATGGATATAATGAATGCATAACATTGTAACCTACTGTAAAGTATGTTTGAAAAAACAGAATAAAGCCAAAGATATTGAGATTTCAAATGGCTCGAAACCTTATTCAATTGGAACAAGGCACATACTCTGAGAAGTAACTACTTAACTTGTGACTCATGAGGCTGGAATTTGATGCTGGTGTTGGAGATTGTTACTGTAACGAACAGTTCTTTATGGACCCTATGCAGACGACACAATCCGAAGAAGCGGGGAAACACTAGGAAAAAAGTCATGCAGGAATACGGGGATGAAAACATGGGGGCGTGTCCAAAGTGCGCTGGTGCACGGGGGAGGTGTGGCCAAGGCAAACAATCCAAAAGTAATCCATAGAGGGAATCCAAAAACGCAAGAAAGTCCATAGCCAGGTGATTCATCCAAACAAGGAATTAAAAACACGAACCGAGTCAGAACCGGCGGACATGGAACAGGAACAGGAACAGGAACAGGAACAGGAACAGGGGTTAAAACCTTAACGGGACCAGGCGCTTCCAGGTACCGGACTCGCACGGTGCGGAAACCAGATGCAGAGCCAGGATGAACGTCAGCGCCTGGCTTTTAAGGTGGGCTGGGAACAGGGGTCAGGTACACAGAATCAAATCCAAAGTGAAAGAGCCGGAGCGCCCTTAAGGAGGAGGGACTACAATCGTGACAGTTATAAGTAAAGAACCAAAACACACTGTATTTGTTTATTAACTATGCCTGAATTCTAACAAAAAAATAAAATAGAAGTTATCTAAGTTTCAGCAAGATTGGAAGTGTGTGTGAAATGTCCGAATTTTTCCAGTGGTGTCAGGAAGCTCACATAAAGCAATGCTGATGTAACTGTCTAAACATTTCAGAGAAAATCATTTAAAACCACAAGTTTCGTATAGCTGAAGCAAGTCCTCAGATGCAGTTGAGACCACCCATAATACTTTTAAGCAAACATCATAGTTTATGAGGTAATGTCTGGATATAATCTTATATGCATTTAGAGGTTGAAATGTCTAGAGTCACAGACAAATTAAAGGGTCATGCTGTATCAACTTTCATAGTCCTAATACAATTAATTTCTAAAGTATTTCAAGACAAATTATATACAATTATGGTCCTTCAGAATCCTTTGCTCCTTAAATGAAAGTGAGAAAGAATACTTAAATTAAATTTAGTATGTTTATTGTTTTTATATATTTTACTGCACATTCTTTTAGTTTTTATATATTTTTTAAAAATCTTGAAAACCTCTAATTTAAAACCCAGAGTGTGCAGATCTGAGCAGAACAGCTCTGTCTTTCCCAATAATACTGAATTGTACAGATGAGTTGGGCTGTTCTTCCATTGTTCAGCAAAGTGTACAGTGGGTTCTCTTTACTCAGTAGGACAAATGATCATCTGGTTATCACTGCAACATTATGTGATTATTAAAGTTGTTTTCAACCCTAAATGTATTTGATTAAATAATCCACCTTAAGATCTAAATGGTGCTGACAGCATCAACATTATTTTTTCTGATAGAATTTACACAACTAGCTGTCACATTTGCACATTTCTGTGGCTCTTCAAGGTTTTCTGCCTTTCACAAACTACAGAGGCACCAGGGGTTGGGTCGTTGAACCAAAATAGGCATTTTTCATGAGTTTAGAATAGTGCGTTCATAGGAAAACTAATTCAAAAAGGGGACTTTTTAGAAATTTTGAGTTGATAAGAATGAATAATTTCAGATTATGGGCAGCCTGCAGTGCACTGCATGACTAGAGACAGTAGGACAGCAAGATGCTGTATGTGTTGTAAAGGCAGCCACCGCACACAAAAAGACACCAGGCCTCAAAAAGGCCTCTTTGGAAATTTACAATGAGCATGCCCACAGGGTTTCCACCTTACAACAGGAGAACGATTACTGTCACAGTGACACTGAGACCGGACACTTACTGTACACCGCAAAAGACTGACACCAACACAGGACAAGGCAACAAGAATTAAGACAGCAACTGCACAAGGAATGCCACTAACTGAGGCTCTCGACAGCAGGCCACAGAATGCCGGCATGAAGGTCCGCAATCCGTGACAGCTCAGGGCCTCATAAGAAACAAACATGCAGGATAAAAGGTGTGGCCATAGTCTGTGCTTTTCACTTACCAACCTCCACAACACTAGAACACTTGGGACCTGTGAAGCCAGCGGGACACTCACATGAAAACGGCTCGTCAGCCAACCCCGTAAAGCAGGCACCCCCGTTCTCACATGGGTTTGGCTCACACACTTCCCCTGTGGAGGCGAGAGATATAAAAAAAAAACAGGAAGGTTAAAGAGTAGCCATCACAGGAACACCCAGTTCCTTGGCATGAGAAATTAATGCCTGTATTCCCCAATTACTTGAGCTCATGCTTGTTTTCTCTTTTTTTTTTTCAAATTTATCTACAGTTTGTCATTCAGACATGCGATTTTAACATTGCAAAACTGACCTGGAGTGCATCATATCGGTCCAGCAAAATGAGGCCTGGCTTTCACTTGTGACTTCAAAGTGAGCTCTACACCTTCAAAAATGGACTCTGCATTTCCACAATACTGAGAGCCAGGTAATGTTTCATTGACTAGGATTTTAGAATCAAATCAGAATCAAATGGAGAGGATTTTGAAGCTTCAGTAATGCTATAGGCAGGTGAGGCACAAGGTATTTTTAATTAAATCATTTTCAATATGCAATATTCTAAAAAAAGCTTAGCATTCTGCAAACATTATGTATGTTTATGCAGCAAACTGTATGAATATTGAAACTAAGCAATTGCAAATTCATTTTCTTTAAGGATACAAGATGTACTTTTAGAAATAATGCCCAGATGCTCCAAGACTTGATGACTTTAAACATCCGAGATAAGGCCATCTGGTAAATTCATCCATCCATTGTTTGACCATTTCATCAAATTTAATGTCAATGCCTATCCCAGAAAGCAACGGGTGAAAGGCAGGGTAAACCTTGAACCAGATGCCAGTCCATCACAGGACACACAAAGAGACAAACATGCACAAACTCACAACAGGGCCAATTTTCCCAGGAGCCTATGAAGCTACCAATTTATCTTTGCATTGTGGGAGGAAACCAGAGCACTTAGAGGAAACCCACGCAAACATGGGAAGAACACCACCAGAACTGAACCAGGCCCCAGGACTCAAGTCAAAATGCTAACCACTGCTCCACTGTGCTACCACAATCTGGCACATGAATTTATTAAAACATGCAAAGCATATTTGGCCATGTTCCAATTTATAGGCCGACTCCTAGTTTCAACTTCCAGAGGAAACAAGATATGAGATTTGTGAGAAGCTATTTTTATTTGATTTGATTTATGTTTTTGGATAGTTTTTTGTTTAGATGATGAGAGAACAATATTACATTTATGTGTACTACCAGGCTTATGGAAGCACATTTTGAAGGAGTTCATCAGGGTCGGTCAACCAAAATCTTTGTTAAACACATAGTCAACTCAGACCAGTTTAATTACAGAGGATTTTTGTAACGAATCAGTCTAATACAGGTAAATGAGGATTATTTAAAAAAATGTTTTATGGAAGTTGATCAGAAGTCACTTTAAAGAGAATGTTAAGATAATGTAGACTTCTGTCATTTATAAACACATACTTTATGAAATAGTAAAGTTATTTTATTCTGTCAAAATGCTATTATATTCTTTAGATTCTGTAGAAAAGGCAGCAGACGTAATTGATGTTCCATCCCTATAATAAAGGAATACTACTTATACTACTCCGCTAATTGTAGTGGACAAAAGGATTAGCTTCTGGTGGCCAAGACAAGAAGACATTGCTGATGAAAGATTCTTTGTGTCAGAAGCAAACATAAAAGACAGCACAAGCTCAGTGCAACACATTCGAAACAAACGACAGGAAAAGGGAGAGTGAGACAAAGGGGAGACATAAATAAAAACTCTGCCAAAGCCCTTACATTGGAAGACCATAAAAGGTAGTGATGACAAGGGAACAAGCTTAACATTTAGCTCTAAATAAATCCAAAGCTGTTCAGAGAAAAGAGTCCTTAGACTCTGTCTGTCTATTTTGAAGTTGTAAGAAGCTCTCATTGCTGTTAAATTCTGGAACATTGAAAGCTGTCCTTTACCCTTTCCCTTAGCAACTTTTAATATGCCTTTGAAACACAGCGCGGCAGGGAGTCAACAAGAAAAATAAGACGTTTGCACATTGACAACTTCAGTTCCGACTAACACAAAATCCAGGACTGAAATACTCATAATGGGTGTTCTTCACACAATACAAGCACAGTATGTACTGTTTTGTCCAATTGGCTTTTTTTATATTGTCTGACAAATATGTTGTGTTATAAATCCTGTGTGCTGATTTTTTTAATTATCTTGTTTTCATGCTGAACACGAAACTATCAAACATGTTATGCATTGAATACCAAAAATGAAATAAAAAAAGAACTGAACCAACTCAAAAATAGCCTTTTAATTGCGTGACAATGTCATTGCATTGCACTGTCCCTCGAAGTCAATCCAAAGGGTCAAAACCAACTGTACTTATGACAGGTCTCCAACCCATTTAGAATCAGAACCACTACAGCTATGATCTAGGGAGTGGTCTGGTCCAAGTGACCTCGGTGGTTCCCCCTTCATCTTCAGCCTCAAAGTACGTCCAATACATAAAATAACCATTGCAAGTTCAAATGCAGATTCACAATGTTTTTTTCCTCTAGCAAGATACCACAGTTCTGAATGTTATTTCTGAAGGCTGTGAAAGGTGTTTGTTTCTAGTTTGTTTTAGTTTGTTTAACCACTTCCACCACAAACAGAGTAATTATTCAGTTGTCCCACAGTACTACCACACTCAAGCTATAAACATCACCTTCTGAATGGTTTCTGCATCAAATCAAGCATGAATCACAAAGCCCCACTACATCCTTCCTCTAATTTCTCATGGTTGTATTAACAGTATGACAAGGCTGCTTATTTTATTGAGGCAGGGCTCAGTGGCAGTCATCAGGATGGTAAAAGATTATATGGTTTAATTATTAAGTGAGAACTTTCTGGATGAGTGCAAGCTGCTTGCGAACACAGAGGGAAACGGACACTTCAAAAACAATATTCAGCCCATAAGTTATTTCAGTCACCTCTCCTGTTTAAAACTGTAAAAATCTTAGCAATGATAGAGTACAGATCAGGGGGTCTGCCTTTTATCGGTCATTACTTGCTAACAGCTCAGCACATCCCTCTTATGCACACTTTCAGTATGTCTGCTTTCCTTCAATCTTAACAGGCACACCAGCTTTCACTCAGCAATTTGAAGATTTTTTGCTTCTATGACTCATAAATAAGTCCCTCTTTTTATAAAAATTAGCTGCCCTGTCACACTGTTAATGCCATTCTGACAAATCACAGAAAGGATGTACAGTAGCTGGGCTTTGTGATTCATGTTTGGTTTGATGCAGACAACCTTTCAGAAGCTGATGTTTACAGCATTAGCATGAAAGTACTGTGAAAAAATTGAACAATTATAGGTAAAGTAATTATTCCATAAACCTTACCTGTAGGCAGGTAAACCTAAACCTAGCACAGAATAATATTGTGCTATCAGAGATTTGAATACAGTTGGTCTGAATGGGGTTAATCAGAGCCTCCTGAAACCTGCACAGAGAGCATCCTGAGCTCTATGATCCTAGTCTGCTCCTCTGTCGTGTCACTAGCGATGGTTCACAACTGGCAAAGTGCCACCAAGATGAGGGTGGGATTAGTCACCACACTGCGCACTTGACTGCCGGTGACACAGAGCCCCCCGAAGCCTCTGGTGGATGCTGAACTCCCCGGAACGGGGCTGTGTAGCCTGTGGTGGTTTAAACGAGTGACTCGAAGGAGGACAAGCCGGAGGAGTCTCCCTACACTTTCTCATTTCCCCCTTGTGCAGTCATGAGGTCCTTGGCCACAATTCACATTGTGTAAAAACACCCAGCTTACTATTCCAAATTGTAGCGATGCAACAGAAATAAATGGAGATTCTAAATAAGAGATAAACATGGGCTAAAACTGTTTTCAAACAACTACAGTGTTCCTTCTTCCAACAAACCCTTACATTTGAATATCTGGTGCCAGATCTCTGCATCTCTTAAGGTAATGTAAGGTAAGGAAATTTTAGCTTTAACTCTATAGTCCATAAAAGCAATGCACCTTGCACCTTGCAGTGAACACTTAAAAAAAACACTGACATTGATCAGGAGACATTACACTGCAGTAACGACTGTACAATATATGGGTGTTAACTGATGACCAAATCCATTATGGGTTAATAAGATGATTCATGTCTGCATTTCTCCCTCCCTAAAATAATTAGCTATTTCAGGACATTTCCCCGCTCAAACTGATGGGAGGTTTACAGGCACAGAATGGCTGCAACATTCCATTCCAAAGATGGCAACCAAAAAACTGTTTGTTCAGCTGGTTCTTTATGTTGCAACACTTTGGCATTCCTCAGATGCAATGGCATGCATGATTTATGAATTATATTTTTTATTTTAACTAGAGTTAAAACAGTGTAAAATATTACATACTTATACCTAAGATAATGGACTATTTTAAAGCATGCATAATACATGCACTTTGAATTCAATGTATCACTGATCTCTTTATCATTCCTTTCACAGTAAATATAGCAAGTCTGAGTATGTGTTAACTACTTTCAATGCATAGAAGCATCGAAGTTGTTGTTCATTTTATTTCTGAGTCATTGATTTTGTTGCTTGTGCTATACTGTTATTTCCAAGTTCACATGGATATCTGAATAACAGGATATGATTCAAAACACAACCTTGAAAACTTCAGTAAATCACTAATGCCTTGTTCACAGACAATGAATACTTCATAAAATGTACCCTTTTTAAAGCGATTGTTACACACATTAATATTTAACTGTATATATTCAATACACTTTATTTGATTTAGACTCCTAATATTGACAAGTATACATTTACTGTATATATTAATGTTGTACATCCCTAATTCTGGTATGTACTGTATGCCTTTTTTTAAAAGACATCTCTTAGATGTACTTAATGAAACACAAATAATGTACTGGGACATCACAGAGAGGGAGGAGAAAGGCTTTTGTATCAAAGGACCAGCTTCTAGCGTACTTTCATTTCTGAAAATAATATTGTAGCAATGAGAATATCAACTTAGCTTGTAATGTAACACATATTTACAAAATATGCTTTTATGTTAAATATCAGATCTTTAGATGACACAGAT